AACCCCCCCCCCCCCCCCCCCCCGATGCGGTGCCTAAAAAGAAACAAAGGGTTTGGCACGCGCTGCATCTTTGGCGCCGACTTGGGGAATCAAAGAAGGGAGAAGCCCCTGCTCCCCCGCGAAAGACGTGGGCTAAGGATGGTCGCTGGGGGAGCTCCACTTTGGGGGGAGAGGAGACTGAGCCGGTATATCTACCAGGCTCGGAGAAGGCCCTGTGGGGACCGTTGGGCTTAGTAAGAAATCAGGCAGGTGCGTCTGCCGCCGCTGTCTGCCCTGTTCAAGATTGCCTGCGTGTAGGGGCAGCCGGGGCGGTCTAGGCTTGTGTGAGGTGGTCTCCTCCTCCGTGTTCTGCACCGTAGGAGGCCCTTCATCTCGCGTCCCCGCCCACTCATTAAAGAGCTGCCTGGTGAGCGAGTCCATAGGCGACGGTAGCAAGGTGTCGGGGAAGAGATTCTGATCGAAGACAGGCAGCACGCGACGCCGGATGGTGTCAGTGAGCTCCCCCAGGGCCGCCTCCTGCGCGTGTATGATTTGTGCTGTACGCTGACGCAGCTCCCAAAGACCCCAGCAAGAAGCCAAAGTGTTCAGAGTCATCAACATCAGCAACCACCACTTCACTAAAGCATCACCGCCTCCTCCCCCCTTTCGCTCGCGGCTCCGCGACTGCAAAGGCGTCTCATACAAAGCACGTGCAGGCACCAAGCCCCCCTGCAACCCCTCACGCGCTGCAACAGGCCCATGCAACGCGTACCCTATTGCTGCTGGATTGTACATAGGTAACCCCTGCCAATCTACTGATGCCGCTGGGGAAGCGCCCCCAGAAGGCTTTCTACCCCCTGCTGCTGGCGGAGATTGCGTGCCTGAAACCTCCTTGTACACCGCATCCAAAGTCCCTAAAGGCTGCTCAGCTTGCACCAGAGAAGGGGTTCCCCCTTGAGGGCCTCCCTTGCCCACAGTCAGGGCAGGAGAAGGCAACGAAGCCCCCTCCCCTACAGCTGCCTCTTTGGGGCCCCCGCCGCTCCACGCCATAGCTGCATGCCCTCCCTACCCCAAAAGCCCCAGGTGCTTAGGGGGCCTCTCGGCCCTCACGCAGGGGCGGCTCTTTATGCGCTGTTTTTGAGGGGCCGGGAGAGGGGGAGAGAGAACTTTGCGGCAGTTGTTGGCGACAGCGCCCGCCGAGGTGCCAGAGGAGTCTCCCTGCGGCCCCCGAAGCAGAAAAAGGGCTCCGTACAACGATGCAGCATGCAACCTAGTAAATGCAGCGTGGATGGAGAAGGGCGAGCATACGCACGGGCCAGCACCTCGCATGCAAGCAGGTAGGGCACCGGAGGTGCCGCTCGGCCGGGGGGTTTTGGAAGCGCAAGCGATCTGCTTCTCCTTCTGTGAGCCTTGGGGGAGAGAAAGATGGTTCAGGAGGGCGAGAAGGAAACACAGTAAACTGTTGAAATGTGGGGCCCCCGAGGGAAACGTGGAGGGCGCAGCGCCATGGAGTTATGAAACTCCTTAACCCTCAATGTTTAGCCTTGCAGAGGTGAGCACATATACAATGACGTGGGTGTACAGATGAAATGAACGCACAGATACTCCGTGCTTGTCGCTGCCTCGCGCCCAGTCACGACCGCCATGTCGGGCCATGCCCTCTTTCTCCCGTTTAGGTCCTTTTCTCCCCTTTCATATTAAACTTCGCTTATTTATTCGTGATAATCTCTGAAAACTGCAAAAAAATTGTCCTTACTTTCTGCCGTCCCCGTGCATAGGTGCATCACTTGACCGCCTGCCCCATTTGGAGCCAGCAGGGAACCTGAGCTCGGAAGGAGCAGAAGGTGGAAGCAAAGCGCTGTCTGGTGCTCAGAGCAACCAACTGGAGATTTTCTTTGCAGTATTTGATTCCCATTAAGGACTAAATTTATCCAAATAATTACTGCCGCTACCCCTCAGGTAGCCATGTGTGCCAAAAACTAAGTAGGGCGGCGGTAGTTGAGCCATGTTCCTCAGAGTATGTTAATTTTAAGAGAGCTCAACAAATCGGAAGGTGATTACGTTCTGACTCCCCTGGGAGTGGCCACCCTACGCCCAGCTACCCAAAAGCCATCCACTAGCCCTGTAGCATGGTTCGTCAAAAGTTGGTGCTTATCCTTCGGCTTGCCTGCAGGCTAGCGATTGAGAGCCACGCATGTCTGTAATTGTCCAGTGTGTTCAAGCACGCGGCGAAGGTGTATTAGTCAGACTTTCATGTTGGGGTGCCTCCCAGCAGAAGTTGCAGCAAGGCACCGTGCACTTACGATGGTACAAGACTGCGCAACCTCATCCGAGAGGCTGCACCTGAGCCGGAAGCCTTGACGTAACTGTTCCTAAAAGGCAGATGACCTCCTCCCCAATCCCTAGACGTTTCGGGATTGGCGGCCAAAGGGACGAGCTGGGAGAGAGGAAGCAGCCACACACGAGGTGCAACGCACTTTGTTGCAGCGGATGCTCCAAGGCACCGTCACCTGCAAGCTCAAGCACTCAACCTTTCGCTGTTTTCATCAACACTGCAGACAACTGTTGTCCTTATGCCTTCGCGTAGGCTGCCCTGCTAAGGCCAAGTAAGTATTCATGTACCAGCATCGGACAGACTATGCTGCTCATGGGAGGCATCCTTCTCTCCCAACCATGCCCAGCTGCTTGTGCTACTAGAACGTTTGGACTCTGGAAAGGGTGCCATTTGGTTTCTTCAGGATGGCCCTCGCTATACTATGTAGACCTGCATGGCACTTTGGGGCAGGTGCGAGGGGCGAGACCCATCCACACACCTGGGCGGCCCTGCGCGTAGCAGTGATTACCTGTGAAGGCGCCTTGCGACAAAAACATCTTTTGGTATTCTCCCCAAGATCTTTGGTAAAAGTTCAGTCTTTTACGCCTGTCGTATTGTAAAGATTGGTCAGGGCCAGCCCTACGGCGGGGTGGCGTCCATCGGCTGGTCTCCCCAATGCATTAAAACGAGCGCAGTATCCACATCTCATGAAACCGAACGTCTTCTTACCATAAAAGCAATTCAGAAGAAGGCTGCCTCAGTCTTTTCCGCCCATCCAAGTATGACAGCCAGCGCAACGCTGCTGCAGTGGAGGAGCTCCTTCCGCCTTCAACTTGCATCTAAAGAGCTACAGTTGGTGTTGGGATGGTCTGTATTAGGAAGGGAGGCACGACAATGGTGACTGTATCTAAAGCTGGGCTATAGAAGCGTTACAGCGTGCGGTGCGATGTCGTAGGTGGATAGCGCAGCACAAGACTTGAACAACGGAAGCCTCCGATAGAGAGTTACATCTAGAAGCTCACATTGTTGCTAAGGAGAACACCGACGGTGGACTCGGAGTCCTTATTCCAATAAATCTTAACCCTCTAGAGAAACGCAACTGCAAATGCGCTCGAACTAGCGGTGAAAGGATAGAAATGGCCAAGATGATGAACCGTCGGAAAGTGAAAAAAAACACTTTTCACCGTCCTGACAGTTAAAGAAGAAAATGGGTTTGGATATGATTCAGATATTTAGCCGCTGATTAATGGGGCTTTATGTGGCCGCCCTTCCCACCAAAGCATAAGATAAAAGAGACAACCGCCGGTGAATTCGGCCAACAGAAAGCCGCCTGGACGTACAGCAAGCACTGCCGAAAAGGGCAGGTTTAATGCTCTAGAAAAAAGCAATGGAAGCGGAGAAGCCTGATCATGAGCGCCACTAAACAGCAACAAAGCGTTGGTAGAAATGGGCTGGCCTCCACCCTACGTGGGGCGCGGTCACACGCACTGAAGAGATCAGAGCAGCAAATGCAGAACGGCTTCAAGCCAACTCTGCGCATGTACAAGTTCGTATTAATGTCCGGGAGTTGCTGGATCTTTTTGACACGGGCAACGAAGTGCATATGATGTCTGAAGATACGGTGTTCTTGCGCAATTTGTCTGTCAATTCATGGGCGCAATCTGGGATTACGGTTTGCCCATGGCTGACAGGAGAGTATTACCGGAAGAACAATGAAGGTAATTGCTGGCTCTTTTCAGGTATCGGTCATATATTAGTGACAGGGAACTTCTACGTCTGACCAGTCCTCCAGGACAGGTGCCATGGTGTGGATGACCTAGTGAAGAGGGCGCGTTCGACCTTCAGAATCCATTATTGAGGTATATGTGAAGGAAAGCAATTAGAGAGTGCACTTCTTAGCGCTCCGAAAGCATGTGCATGTTTGTGGTAAGAGGAATGGAATTTTTCCCGAGCAGAACGGATCTATGAGGCTCCAACGCAGTGCAGAGGCCATATGGAAATACATTTACTCCGTCGTAATCATCTTCCGAAGGACATCTAATCACTCTGGAGCCGCCTGAAGCTTTTCTTACAGGACGCGGGCAACCGCTGCATCCTGGAAAGGGAATTGAGCAGCAGGTGAATGGACTGCAGGTTACGCCGAAAGTGGAGGAAAAACGACAGGGCTGTCACCTTCTCTGAAGTGCTGTTCCAAGAAACTTAGACCTGTCTTCCCACCGGCCAAGCCTCCCCATGCTACAATTTGTGAGGCCAGAAGACGGCTCACAATTTTCACTTTGATTCGTTAATTAAGGCGTTCAGATCCAATCCTGCACTGGCCAGGAAAAAGACGGAGGCTCCCCAGAGCAAGTTTCAACTACAAGCCCCGAACAGAAGCAAGTTGGCGTTCGTTTTCGCTTAAGTGTGTTGGGGTGCATGGTAACCTTACTCCCAACGTGTCGGCCTCATGCCGTTTCTGCCGGGTTTCTGAAGCAGTCCAGGAATCACCAGAATTCCCCCACAAAACGGAAGCCATAATGCGAGAATGAGCAACTAGTGTGGACTGGCTGTTTAACACCTCACCTTGGTACGCACCTACTATTTACACTATACTGGCTAATCCAAACGCTACTATCCATCAGTATCCCCAAAATATCATCTAGTATTGTTACCTAATTCCAATTTAAGATTGGGTTCAATTCATGTATGGAAACGAATGTTTGTCTTTCTGCAAAACGCTGGGTGCGCAATGATGTTGCTGGCATGCGGCCAGGTTGATCGTTCCAGAACTGAGCCTGTTGGGGCTAGCTAATCTCACTATTCCTATTCATTTCTTTTCCTCTGTATATTTGGTTTCGTAATCCTTTTTATGTTCCCATTAATTATTCTTTTTCTCTTGGGCGCTATTCGCATGAGCACTAACTTCGTTCCACACTCAGCAACACCCGGTGAAGGCCTCGTGACTATGACGTGGGAATTTTAATTGCTGGATTTTGGAGGAAAGCAACAACGCTTTGTCAAAATCAAAAAGGGGAAATTATGGCTGGAGGAAGCCTCCACTTCTACTTCACGTCCTGCCTGAAGGGCCAACCGTCTTCACGCGTAGCTGCGCAAAACTATTATGATAGAGTGTGGGGCGGTCAAGCTCCAAAACGCAGGTGAACCTGCTACTTTAGGCTTATGCTCGTGTCCTTATCCAGGGGGCAACTTGCTCGTCTTTGCAAATGTATGCTCGTTATAGACTTTTTGCTCTCATTGTAATTCAAACACATATCATGGGCAAACGTGTAACGACGCACCGACCAAGCAAAAACATAAAAGTAAGTAGACGGGAAAAGGAAAAACCGAGTAGGTTCTTAGTGGCTGACGGGGCAAGGAAATGTTTTAATCAATACTTCAGGAGGCAGGCACAGTCGCAAAGCAAACTTGCTGCAGTTTCCCAGAGTGTGCCTACTTGGCCGCAGCGAATGCAATCCAGTCGCATACAGCAAAAATCAAGCGAGGAAACACAGCACCAAATAAGCAGAAAAAGGTTGCAGGGAATAACAAAACACACTTATGAGCGTGCCGCCTGGGTCCTGCGGCGCTCGCCGACTTCCGCTTCGCTGCCCTGATCTTTGAGCAATGCTCCACAGTGTTAATACATGAAGCAAGAGATGCACGTGTTGTGCGCCTGCATAACCCAGCCACTTTTGTTGTGCAGATGCCCTGCAGCACTGCCTACCCCACGGTGCGTTGTATACCCCCGGAGAGCTGGCCACCCTTCCCCAGCATCCAGCAGCTCCGGGCCCTTGTTTCGTTGTGACCAGGATGCCTGGATACGCAACTCGCGTCAGCTTGTTTCAAGTACTAGCGTCACACTCTTGTAGCTCACGCGAAAGATAGAGGGGGCACGCCACTCCGGCTGGAAGGCAACCCCACACGCAAAGGTTCCCAATACATGTATTGATAATACACGTATTGATAAATGCTCTCAACTGTTAAACGGGTACTTGGCCCTGAGCAGCCTGCCTGCACGCAAGTACAAACGCGCATACTACCTTCAGACAGACAGTGCTACGATACACTGGCCCGCATCCTTGGCTATGCGAAGAAGCCACCCCTGCCTGCGTTCTTAAAGGTGAAAATAAAGGTTTCGAATAACTCCTCCTTTTTGCAATCAAATGTATGCACCTTTACTTTCCATGCAAGTTCGGGTTTTAGTTGCCCAAGTGATTGAGTGGGGCTTGGGGCTGCCTCTGCAGACAGATCGCTTCCAGCATGGGGCTTGCGGGGCCAGCAAGGTAATTGTGGCAGGTCGGTTGTTGGGCTGAATTTAAAAATAGGTTCTCTTCTTTGCCCTTCGCGTCCATTTAGTTCTCCATCAGATCAAAATGGTGGGCTGAATTGCAGTCTGCAGCTGGTGGAATGTACTCCGCTCCTCCTGGCCTCGGCAGTGGGCGGTTCTATGTACGGTGTAGACAAAGCTCAACGCTGCCTTTTCTTTATCTTTTCTTCTTTGGCATGAGACGCATATGGTCTTTCTGTGTTTGTAGTGAACTAACACGGCTTCTCGGCCCTTGGGGGACGTTTGTCTACCTCCGTTCTCAGCCCTCGGTGACGCACTCCCGTAGGGCGTTGGTTGTGAAAAACTGATATGGTTGGGTGACTTCGTGCTTTACAGGCGTGTATATATGTTTAATGATGCGGCCTATTAATGCTTACCATGGACGTAGAGTACTGCGAGCGTGCGCGCCGCCTGTAGCTGCCATCGCATGGGTAGCTTTGGGGTTATTGGGAAACGTGGCATATTGTGTTTTGACTTGACTAGGCAGGTCTGCCTTGTGCAGGGAATTTCTAGATGGAGCCCTTGGAGAGGTGCAAAGGACATTCGCTGCGGTTTTTGGCGTTCAGGCGGAAGACGCGACGGCCCCCCGCAAGAGGACGTTCCGCACGTTCACTTACCGCGGCGTCGACTTGGAGAAGTTGGTTACGCTTCCTCTTGACAAGCTGGTAGATCTGTTTCGAGCTCGCCAGCGCCGCAAGTTTAGTCGCGGCATCAACCAGAAGGCGTTGCCGCTTATGAACAAGTTGAGGAACGCTAAGAAGGACTTGCCGTATGGCGAGAAGCCCCCACCAGTGAATACGCACCTTCGCAATGTCGTTGTGGTGCCGGAAATGATCGGTTCAGTGGTTGGTGTCTACAACGGAAAGCAATTCATCAATGTGGAAATTAAGGTAGGAGTTTTCCTCCACATTTCCGAAGGTTTTTTCAGTCAGCGTCGCCTCCCTTGACCCTTCATGCAGAGCCCACCCAGTCATTTTAAAGGTGTGGACGGTGCAGCGATATGCGCACATCGATACGGTGTAACTTGGTGTGAACGAACTAGTACTGTGGCTTCCCTTTGCATTGCATTTGCAGCCGGAGATGGTGGGGTACTACCTTGGCGAGTTCTCCATCAGCTACAAGCCAGTTCGCCACGGCAAGCCCGGTATTGGCGCCACACACTCTTCCCGTTTCATCCCCCTCAAGTAAAGCGCCGACTCCGACGGTGGAGTCTCTTTGGAGGCGCGCCGCATGTCGGGCTGTTTTCGCAGAACCGTTTGGGGTTATTTTCTGTTTTTGCTGCTTTTGTTGTGTCGTCCCCATTTTAAGCATAGTTGGCGTAGGCTCTCCCAGTTACGATCTAGCGACTTGCGTCAATAGCAGATCTAGCCTACCATGGACATACTAGAGCAAAAGTTTAAACGGTGATGTCTGGCCAAATAAAATGCATAAACCTGCGGGACCCCGCAGCTAGTTGCTAGTGCGGCGAAAAAGTACGTTAAGGTGCGGTTTTGAAGCGGACTAAAATTGTCCGTCTTCAGCTGTCAGCTGAACTAAAATAGTCCGTCCTCAGCCTGAATGCCCTTCAACTTCCTCTCCTGCGACTCTGTCTGCAAAGGACGATGCACGCATATCAAGCATTTGCGGCTCCTCATGCTCACAAATTACGCCTGTACACCTACGCACGATGGCCGTTTATGCTGTTCATGCCCATGAAACAACACTACATAGCCTGCAACGGCGCCTGGTAGTGGGAACGCAGGGGCGTGGGTCTTCGGGACCTCATTGCAGCACCACTCACCCACGCCTTTGCTATTGTTCTCTTCATCTCGCTGTCGCCCTGAAATCGCAGCATGATTGGAATGTGCCCATTTAGCAAGGAAAAGGAACGGAGGTCACGGTGTCGGCGATTTCGTCACTTCAAAGTTCGGATGCAACGCATGCATAGGATGCAGACTCGCGATTAGTTGTACACGGCTGCCATACTTGGTTGTATAGGCTCTTCATCATGCTCATGATGGACTGCGATGGATCGGCAGTTGGGTCAAGCTTAGGGATCGTATTCGACTGCGCTGGCTTTGCTACAGAGTCCCAGTGTTCTGGGCGTAGCTGCATTCACCGTGGCAAGTGCACGCACGCAGAGCATCCGCTGCAAAAGAATGGGTAGCGGTCAGCGGCATCGTTAAGCGAAGGCAACTAATCTTGCCCAATTCACGGCGCCCCTACAAAGTCAAACCCCTACAACGTACTTTCGCCAGGCGGATGGTCGCGGTGTCGCGTTTAACGGAGAAGTTAGACTCTGAAACACGCGGAACCATCACAACAGAAGGGCCTGTGCTTAAAAGCTCCAACGGATGGAAATTGGCTCCCATGTTAAGTTGCATGCAGCCCATTTCGTTACTATATCAATTTTCTGGATGAGAACGTTGCGGAGCAGAAGACGGACGAAAGCGAAGCCGTACTCTGCGTGTCGATAGGAGCATAAAGTGGATTGAACTTGAGAATGTAGTTCCTCCCTCGCAGATTCCGCACCTGAAGGTAAGAGAAGCACAACAATGAAGTAAAAGTACTGCTTTTGTGCGGCTACCGCTGTATGCTGGCTTGCCCCTGGAAACTTGGCAGGAGCAAAACATACCACCAACTCGGCGCTATTTTCCTCGAAACGCACGCATGTGGCGTCAGGGGTAAGTTCCGCCAGGCCTTCCAGGTGTACGTAAACCCTGAACAAGGCCACATTCATGCATTCAAATGCCACAGATTTGTGCCCATCGCCATGTTGCCTTCACGTGAGAATGGTCCAGTGCAGTGTGCCAATACCATGGCAGCGTCAAAACCTGGAAAGCGAACCCACTTTACGAATGTCGGAGTTTGATCCCAAGCAAACCGATCAACTGTACTGAAAACCTTCGCGCAAAAAAGGAGCAGACGAACCCAACGAAGAAGCTCCCGCCAAACCCTGGAAACGAATGCAGTGCCTTTTAGTGACGGACTAGGTCCGTGTTCGCTTTTCCGCTTTTCCGCGAGCGCCATTCACGCACCTCTGTGGTAGAATTCCCTTGTGCTGCGCAATTCTCCAGGCGTTCTGTCTGCGCAGCCAGATGAGGCAACAGGACGCACAGAAGGCCGACGCCCTAGTGGATGGCAAGCCTCACACAGCTCAGAGTGAGCCGTCCCGGCATTACGGAGTCATTGAATTACCTCTTGGATCTGATCCCGCAGTCGCACACACTGCTCACTCAGCACACGTATATTGGCGGGCCTCTTCGCGATTTTTAACAGGGATTCGAGTTCCTCCAGGTCGCTTCGAAGGGCCGACGCGTGCTCCATTGTATGTTCAATGTAAGATGCCCGCGCAATTGAGCAAGAGGATACGCCTAGTTGGTTTGTTCTTCCACAGTCAAGGCTACAGTATTGTAACGCCGGACGAGCAGCCGGCTGCCAGACGCTAGTGAGTGATTTCGTTGCTCGGCCCCGCCTGCGAAAGTCCAATGAAAACTCCGAGCTACAGGAACGCCAAATCTCCAACTAAAGACTTACAGCAAGCACAGAAAGCGGACGCGGAGCAGCAATTCACAGCAATTCACAGCACGTCTGACTCGGTTGTCGATGCCACCCCCCCAGCCCAAGATGTCGGCACGATTCGGGCAGCCTACAACTTGAAGTTCGGCTTTTCCCGCCAAAATTCGGTATAGTAACTCAGTAAAACAAATACTGAACAAGGATCTACTGTTATGAAACACACAGGATGCTGCACTCCGGCCAACTGAGGCAAGGTGCACGATGCTGAAGCCTCGCGGCGGCGCAGTCTGTATGAAATGAACAACAGTGAACAGTAAAAGTAACAGCCTTTCCCTGGCTCCCTTCCAGCGTACATGCTCATTCATACATTCAGAGGAAGGTGTAAGCATCTCCCCCTTGCATTACGCGATGTACCCGCCTGCTCTCCTGCATCGGGGTTGGACATCAGCTCTGGAAGCAGGCAGTTGTGTACCTGCCATGTCCTCGTTTTCAGGAGCATTCTGAAGAATGCAACCAGTGCTATATCATTTGAGCTGAAGCAACTGCCCTTTTTGCCACTTTTTCTAGGAGTGGACTGTTTGGTGCTGCGGTAGTTTCCAACATAGATTGGTGTTTATGTGAACGTTGCGCCTCTGTACGAAGAATCTGCTCTTTTTAAAGACGTTTGGTTCCCTTTATAACGTCTTTCGTTTGGGTACGAAGGTTGGTCACCTCCTCAACCCGTTCTGTTGTAGCGCTGCATTAACTGTATTCTGGCCGAAGCCCGTCCATACGTGTCAACTTGTGCGCGAGCTGGCTCTTGATGGCCCAGTAATTGTTTAACAAGTGATTACTGTATTAAAAAGTACGTCAAAAAGGGGTTTGGGTATACTGGCATGCAGGGTTACCTATGAGCAGGATATGCCCCAAGGCGTGCAGGCTGTCTCCTGTCTGCACTAGCGGCAATCCTTGGGCTGCTATGCCCAAGACACCTGGAGCTTGGAGGGGTGTTCAACTGATTTTTGGGTACTCTTGCAGTCAGAATCCTTGATCATAACGGCGGATTGCCGTGAGCTGCGAGAGAGTCAAAATGCCAGCTACGGCAGTATAGGCCTATACGACTGGTGTGAGCAGGAACAGGTTCACAACACTTGGGATAATAGGTTGTCCAAACTGCCTTTGCCATAGTCTCTTCTGCTCAGACAATATTGATTTCAGCGGTAGGGTACACGATCCCGACCCTAATCGGGAAAAGATGCGGCCTATTATCAGCTGCAGCGCTTCCCGCAACCTTTCCGCAGGAGGCAACCCTGCAAGCAAGCATACTCACACTTGTGTATGACTAATACACAGACTTCATAGTGGATTGTTAGGCACTTGCTTGGCTGACAGTAACAAACACACGCAGATAGAACCATGCACGTCCGTCTGTCGGCCCTGTCCGAAGGGTGCTGTGCCAAGCAATGGAACTAGAGGTTTTGGAGTAAACTGTTCTAATGGGGTATGTTAGAGGCATCACGGAACGGTGGTATTTTTTTATCATTTTCTTGTTGAAGTGCATTGCCTTTTGAACAATCACACGGAACTGTTACTCGAACGAGAATTCTTCAATATATCGAAGGTCCATTACACGCTGGGGTAGAGCCAATCTATTGGGGACATGAGTTCCAAATAAGCAAGTGAACTAGGTTACTAAGCCTACTGAGCGCACCAAAGGACCATCATGGGGATGATGCGAAGACGAGCCAGCTTCTTATGAGTCACAGCATCCTTTGCTGAATGACTTTGCACTCATGCACATCCAAGTCTCCTTGCCACGCACGCATTGACACCTTAGAAAATCGTTAAACGTTTACACGGCTCTCATTAGCCTACAGGCAAGCAATTGCAGAAACATCTACCAGTCGTGAAGGGCCCTACCATCTCTGCCCCCCACCTGCAGCGGATTGTCGAGGCAGCCACAGCCTCAGCTGCATGCCTTGTTGTTCTACAGAGCCTGATGGGTCGTTTCATGTAGCATGGTCTGCGGGACGTTGGTGCATGTACTACTTGCGTGTGGGCGGCGACCTAATGGCCATTGACTCTACTGCAGCTCAAAATGGTCCTCGGTGTTACTCGTGCGTAGACCTCCGTCTCCTCCAGCTATTGCCGTAAGATAGCATCGCCAGGTTTCTGGTAAGTCCACGATGATGCAAGCCAACGCGTTAACTTAGGAACGAACATGGATGGGCCCTACATAAAACAAGGGAAACTTTCTCCACCCGACATCCTGAAGGGAAGCGCCCAGTCGTGAACTGGAACGCATCTAGCTGCAACTCCTGCTGCAAGGCAACCATCATGCTATATACCCAGAAACGCCTTTCGATGCATGCACTAACACTCTAGACAGTTGTTAAACGCTTTCTTGGCCTTCAGTGGCCAGCCTCCAGGCAAGTTGACATACCAGTGTCAGAGATAACATCCTGTAAGTCTCTCCATGCACAATCCTAACGGGGAAGCCTGACCGGAATTGCTACAAAGGATAAAAGCGAGACAGAATTTCGGATGTTTTAACTAGCGTTTCAAATAACGATTGATTTTCCGTGGCAACTTCATACAGTAGAGCACATTTACTACACATTGTCAACCGAACTATTTAACGGGCGGGCTTCTGCACAGCCCATGTACCCCCTGTATACTTCACGAGTAGAAGACTGCGTATGTCGAATTCGAATTTATTAATTATCATATGGGTCCAAAGAATGGGCCTACTACTACGGCGCCCTAAGGGGATAAGCTGTAAGCTATTTGCGGAGTTCCAACCGAATGAAGGGTTCAGCATGCTTGTTACACTGCTTGCAGGTGAGGCCAGAAAGAAATTCATACACCGAAAAATGCACTTGATGGCTTCAAGTTTAGAAAGTAAATATGCAGAGTAGTTTCCACTGCTCCTATGTGGCACGGACCTGCTGGGGCCACACGAGTCAAAACAACAACCAACGCATTTGCCTCATCCTTCGCCTGGTTGTATACACATGAGGTCGCTGGTATTATTATTGTTTAAAAAACATACTTTCTGTTTTTTGGCTGTGTGGTTGTACCCAGCTTTAGCTCCGCGGATTCTTCGACTCGGAATGCCCCAACACCGGCTAGGGTTCGCACAACTAGCACGTTCCTCGTGCTGCTGTACCCATCCTGACAAATTGTATGGAATATATATACGCTAGAGCGCTGCTATTATGGGGACCCTGGACATTAGGTGGCCAGAGGTGTGGCGCCTGGTCCAGCGATTACCGGCTCATCAGCGAAGCGAACTTCTTGGTATGACTTGAAGAATGTCTGGAGCGCTTCCGCTGGAGAATGCCGTCTGACGCCTAGACTACTGGCAGTGTAATCGCGTTCAATGTATGCCAGAACATCAATACCTGTTTGGGGTGCTACTTGCCTTTGTGCGCAGCTCAAGTCGAGGCTGCCGCATTGCTACTGCTGCACTTGCGGGACGATGCACTGAAGAGGCAATTGGAAGATGACAACAAGTTGCAAAAGTGGCTGAGAGAGCTGTTGTTGCAACTGCCAACAGCATATGAATGCCACTCCACCGATGTAACCCCTCTCCCTGAGACTCTGCAAAAGTATGAAGAATTTAGTTTTACACAACATCCCTTGCCCCTAACGCGATATCCCTCCAGCTATCCCAGCTTACGTGCATTTCTGCGTTGCATACATGCCGTTTTCACGTTTACTTGTTTTCTCAACGTGTTGGACAGGCTGCTACTGAGGGTCTTTTTGCGGCTGTCGAGGCTGCAGCTGGTCGATCATGAGCTGCAGCAACTGATCGCCTTGCCGTGTTCGGCCTGCCTGGATGTGTGTCTATGCTGGGAAGCAGCAGATCCGGCGTTGTGTTGTGAAGTCGCTGCTACTCTGCTGGCCTCGCTGAAGCCCACAAAGCGACAACGGCTTGCGACAGAAGTGCGAGAGTCTGTTCTCTGTACAATTGAGGCTTCCGTGAGAGCCTTACATGCTTTAAGCCGACGACCAGATTCACCTTTGGTGTATTCGCCACTGACGACGATAGGGGGAGACGGGGCTTCGTCACCTTGGCAGGAGGCTGCTGCTTCGACTTTGCAACCTTTGATAGAGGCCCTCGCAGTTTTACGTGTAGCCACATGCTGTCTGCCGGTATCATTTGCACTGGAGTTGTGGGATGGGCTACAAAATCGGGATAGATCGGTGCCCACCGTGGAAGCAATGCTGAACTCAATCAAAGAACCGGATGTCTCTACCCAGCCGCCTTTCTCGGCTCCGCTTAGAACCATCTGCGCAGCACTCGTAAGGGCCCCCACCATAGCTTCCAAATTTAGCATGAACCTTTTAGTTGCCACTGCCTGGTTTCTCAATAAGATCATGCAATAGTTGTGGCAGCTCTTCTCCACAGAGCTCCAAGACAACAACTGTGGGGCCCACTGGTGGGTGATTTCAGACGCGGCCCCCTTGGTTTTCACGATTGACACCTCTTTTGCCGCCAAGCCTTCAGCAAGCTGTAGTCAGGGCACGGACCCTGGCTTGTTGCTGCATAGTGGGAGATGCAGCTACCCGGAGCAGGGACGTTCGGGAGGAGCTAAGAGCTGGAGGCACCAGGAGACCTAGTAGAGGCCTGCAGCAAAAGGCAGGGGAGTTGTTGGAAGATTGGGGTGCCTCACTTCTTCAGCTGTTTGAAGTAAGCATGAGGCCACTTCGGGAGGGCCGAAGGCTTCGACGGTCTGAAGCTAAAAGAAGTTCTTGTGGTTTTTCTATTTGCTAAATCTCAGGGTTGTTCGACGGACGGCGGCACCACAGAGTGTATCGTCAGCGACTTGGAGGTTAGCGGGATTCGCTGCTTATTGCAGCAGTGGCGCTTGGCCGATGTGTAAGCTTTGGGAAGATCCTGCCGCAAACTTTACATTGAGCCCCGTATCAATTTATGACCAAGTTGAGGGCGGTGCCCATTCTATGTAGCAGAGGAGACACTCAGAATTTATTCGCGTGCCAAGGATGCGGAACTTGAAATTCTCCTGTCGCAGAAACGAGGATCAGGTAGATTACATCGACTCAATTTTGTCCACTTCCAAGACCGTAAGGATTCCATCAAGATTGGTGCTGGCGCTGCCTCTAGCAGCAGTTACAGGATCCCCAAAATTGTTTGGTTACTGCTCTACTTCCTGTCGCGGTCGCTGCTAGTGCTACAGCAGCGCGCAGAGAGGAGAATAAGTCTTGGTCTGTTGCATTCGTGGATGCTGTTCGCTTTTCTGGCAGGGTGAAGGTGAAAGCACGCAACAGCCGGCTGCTCCCCTTGAAGATAAGACTTCGCTGGTTCTGACTCCAGAAGATACGAGAACTGTACGGTAAGCTGGGAGTCAAGGCTTTCATTCAAGCATCAGCCGAACAGTGCTGGTTTGCTTGTGTAAGCCAGCTCCCCCGACTTCGTTGCACATCTTTGCACATCTTCCATTGAAGACTGAAAGCGCTGATGCCGCAGGGAAGACTTGGCGTTCAGGCAACTGCAAGAGATGCTCCCCACTTATGGGCCAGGATTCTTGTATTTGGCGCTCCGTGAGTTGCGAGGAAATGCAGACGAGGTAGTATCTCTTTTGATGGAAAACATGGAGCCTGCCAACCTGCGATCCGTCCCAATTCAGGCGACTCTTCAAGGTATCCTGGAGAACTAGAGTAGAACCTGGTGTGCACGTTAGAGCATCTCTAAGCCTATCACTCCTTCGTAAACGATACCATTCTGAGGCGGGGCGTGCCCCTTGCCATAAGAAGGCACCTCTCAAGATGCAGAGCGCAAGACCTTTTCACTGCTTGTTGGAATTCCAGATGCGTCGGACTTTATAGAGCAAGAGAAGCACGGCGAAGTTCCGCTTGTGAGCAGAATACCGGAGAGCGCCGACATAAAGCGCCAGGTCCTTGCTCTTGCGTAAGCTGCGACGACATGCAATCTACCGTACAGTTTTTGTCGTTTTCCAATGTCAACAATTGAATTACTGCTTTTTCTGCAGCCTGCATTCCCATAATGTGCTCACACAGTTCTGGGTGTGACAACCACAAGGAGATGGGACGCAAACCCTTGTGTACGCAGCGAGCTGGCCGCTTCTGAGGCTTTGGAGGGCAACGAAGACACAAACAGTTCGCTCTACGATGATGATGCAGACGAAGAGCTTCTAGCCGAGGCTGCGGCCAGCCGGTGGAACCCTGCAGAATGTTAGTGCGACTTGAAATGCGTGTGGCGTGCGACTGAAACATCAAATATTCCCAGTGCAACAAGTAGCAGTGCCGAAACATAAATGTAGGCTGCCAGTTTCAGTTGACAACACTGTGTATATTGTTCGTGCTGTTGGCGTCGCAATGATGTACAATGCAGCGGAGGCAGTGGAGAGTTCGTCATCTAGCGGAACTGAGCAGGAGAGCACGGAAAATGGACAGTCGTTCCGCGGCGGTAGTGAGCACTAATTTTCGTCCCTAAGTTGGTGAAGGTTCGGCTTGCTGTTCAGTCTGAGGAAGATGTTGACGCGATTATTTCCTAGTCGGCATTAAAACGCACTGTGCCAGCTCTGTATGCGTTATCAGCTGTTTCAGGACGCATGACAGTCAGAGGCGGTACCCTGGCAGCTCGGCGAAAGGAAACCAACAAAGCTTCCATAGGCAACCATTCACGGCGCAACCAGTAAGACATCCTGTGCTATAAATGGGAAAGGCATTTGCGAAAAAAGGAGCTCTTTCTGGAATGTCGCATGCTTGCACATAAATAAGTTGCAAGTAATATCTGCGTGAGCATCTTCTATTGAAGGTTCGGCGGAGATGCTTGATATATCCGCAGGCGGCGTCGCAAGGTTGAGCGATGTATGGGGCCGTGAATGCGCACCACCTGTTGTTTGTTGTTGGGAATCGTTGACGTCAAAGTAAGTGTTCATTGGACAGGACGCTTTTGAGGTGGGGAGTGGCAATGCACGTATTCTTCCGTCTATTTGCTGACCGCCAATCTGGTAGACGGTAAAAACCAAACAATCGCTACAAGGAACGTTACAAAAGGCGAAACGCTTCAGTGCCTTGCGCATCAGAAGACGAAGAAGGATCCTCTGGGCAGTGGTCTATATTTTAGCCTTGTCACGCCGGATACTGCGTATCGGATACTGCGTATCTGATGGAACTATTGTGTATTGGAGGCGTGTTCCTACTTGGTTTCAGTGGTTTGGCGAAAGTGAGGCACTTCCTGTTGAGGGATGCAGTAGTCAAAGTACAAACATTTCAAAAAAGTTCAACCCCGGTCCTGAATGCGACATCGTATAACCACGCTTTGGAAACGCCAGGGAGACTGCTCCCTACAAGGGTTGTGCAATTAGACCCTCTCGCGGTGAACTCCTCCTCTCTCCTCCCCGCTGATCTGGCGTATGCTACTCAGTAACATCACGCAAAGGTACTCCACTCTGTCTCCCTGTTGGAGCACCAGGCGGTGCTGAATGTGCTTTACACCGCGAATAGGTGGAAACGCTAACTGTAATGCCTAGATGCGGATGCCGTCTGGTTGCCATTTGAGCGAGAGTCGCGCTCTTCTGATTGACCGCCATCTAGACGGAGGAGCTCATCCATTCGGCGCAGTGCATCTCGGATAGCCGACACGCGAGCGGAAGCCGCCTCAAAGGCTTCTCGCGTCATTTCCTTGCTGTTCTTAGCGCAGCATCCTGTAATCGATCAGACATGCACAGTTGCGTCTCCTCCGCTCCAATGCACACAAAGGTTGACTTGGCATGAAACTGCCAGGCCTCAGTATAGCCTCCGTGCAGCAATGCGTATGCCCCGCAAGGTGGGCCGATGTCACCGACTATGTAAGGCCACGTGCGGCATAGAAGGGAGTACGCGGGCCGACCTTACACCCAGCAGCAGCAACCTTTCTTACCTCCAGCGCGTGCCTTTTGAACCCAATACTCTCTTGTCCGTTCAAAAAAATCACGTAGGGACTCGCCTTCTGCAGGGGTCTCCATCGGATCGTCAAGGCCGAACCTCTCCTGCGGAAACGGCCTCACGCGGCCTTTCTACTTTGGCCATGGGTGGCAAGTAGAAGCGCAGGGAACTGAGCTACGAATGCAGATTTTTATCCGGAAGCTAATTTTCATGCAAGCTTGTGGTGACACCCCTGCAGTAAATTTGTGTGGCGAAGTGCGACGTCACTGATTTCAAACAGCACATTAGTTACCCGCAGTTGTTGCATCTCCTCCCTAACACGATGCCGTTTCCGTTCTTTAATTACTTGGTTTGGGACTTCTGAAGAAAAAAGAGATAACAACAGCCAAATATGCGCATGCCTGTTGTCGAACTCAGCCCTACCCCGGTTGTTTTCGAAAGCAGCCCTTGCAGGCCTTCCGAATAGCGTACCTTCATCCGAACTTGACATCTCGTTGTTCAGATCGTCACTTTCGGAGCTTCCCGTATCGCTGAAGTTGCTATCATCCTCGCTGTCGCTTCCCCCGCCGCTTTCAGCTTCACTCTCTCCTTGCCATTCTTGTTCATGCATCGTGCCCTCCAGTACACGGACCCAACGGTCTCTGCGGGCAATGTATTGAATGGTGATTTGCATTGATAAGTCGCTTACGGGACAACGCTGCCCTGTGCTTGGATGCCTGGGTTTGACGCATTGATCTCGAAGAGCCATTAGCAGCACGACAAAACTCAAGCAAGGAGGCAATAAGCTAGCTGCGTATTTCACTCCCTTATACCACGAAGTTCCCTCATCCTGTGGCAAGCATACCAACCTTTTATTCAGGTTAAGACTCCAGCAGTCATCCAAGGTAATTTCCTTATTTCCTAGCTCCATTAGGCCCCCCATTAAAACCAAGCTGGACCCCCGCACACAAATCATTCCGTGAAGTCGGGGAAGGGGTACATCAGCTGAAAACACCGAAGGGGCCTGTGGAGCGTCAAGTGGCCCAACTGAAGCCAAACTTAGCCGTGCATCAGATTTGGAGTTTGTGTGCTGCACCTCCCCTTCAGTGGGCTCAGTGGGCTTTGGGGGATCGACGGCACCACCAGGCTCACACTCCACCGACACATCACACGCAGCTGTGCTCGTGTCAGTGCTGGTCTCCCCGCCGCAACTGGAGGAAATCCCGCCGATGTTCTGTTCACGCTCTGGTGAGCTCTGTGGATGCGTTGCGACAGCTCGATTCACCTCCGGAATATCCTCTAGTTGCAGCTTCACTAATCGGCCTTTAGCGTCAAAGTAAGCAAACGTCTTCTGAGGCAATAACCCCAGTCCACAGCGTGGCGCCACAGGACTTCCAGTGGGGTCCCTTCACGGCCCCCCCAAAACAAGGTCAAGTTGGCAAAGACAAAAACCATGCAGCATACTCTCAAGACCAATCAATACGCTTCGAATTACAGAGCAGGGTTACCATGCATTCATGCGAATTGCTTGCGACTCACTTGCCAGTTTTCTTCGCCAGAAGACGCTTCGCTGGTTTCACTTTCGTAGGTCTGTGGCTCCTGTCCCGGAGATAACTGACCTTCAAACCAAAACGCGCATCCTTCACCATGCTAGTTATATTTGCCTAGCTCTTGGTTTTGAGACTTACGCATTTAACCAGAAGCCAATGGTAAGGTACGGAACCTGGGTACCCTGACTCACCTATGTCCCTTCCTATCTGCCTGGGGGCACGCTTTTTTGAGCCCCCCTTTTTTCCAGTCTTCAGCTCAAGACGGTACCAACGCCTGCAAAAATATGGGTCAACTCGCGTATATCAAGTCAACAGCTATATCTGGAACAACTGCTGCGTACAAGCAGAGCTACGGGCGTTGCACAGACGCGCTCAACGTGAACAGTTTGGTTTGGTTTGGACTAGTTTGGACCTGCCTTTTCGGTACGTCAAATGAATACACATCATTGAAGAAAACGGACGATAGATTTGTTCCTCCATCATCTTGGTCAGCGACTCCACCGAAAACAATAACGCTGGACTTGTACGCGGTTGCGCACATCCCTACGTAAAAGTCAGGAGGACAAGCCCCATAAGCCTTACATGGAGCACTACAAAGGCGGCCGCAAGGATACTGTAGTACACTAGCCTGCTAATAATTGGAACTGCACATATAGGTAACTCTCAGCCCCTTCAGGCGCGTTACCACAGCAGCAACCCACAGAGTGCATCTCGACGGAGCTTTAATAGCGCTTTTCAGCATACCTGTTCTTGGCGATGGCGGGGTACCGCTATTTTTTATTTTCTCCCACGTAGGGATCTGCGTCAGTGCCCCTTTAGCCAATGGTTTTAAATCCAAGAGCCAAGAGTCCTGAATAATTTAATGCCCCACAGCTCTACGAATATCAGATTACCGGAAGCTGTACGGCGTATTTCCTCCGTCTGAAGTAAACCGGCTTCCTTTTGCCCCCCACGTTATCCAACTACACTATTAATTAACTTTTGTCCACTACTGTGGCGAGGGACTCCGCGGAACTGCCCCAGCCAAACATTGAGCACCAGGGGTATACAAGGAATGGCTGGAGCTGCAAGATCCAGGCCCACAGTGAATATCTTGCCCTGGACACGTTTGTTCGTGTCCCTTATCTTCGCAAAGCCCCCATGGAGCAGTATCACATCTCCGACGACGACAAAAACACATCCCCCTCGAGCCTCCGGAATGTGCGTATGAGGTGGAAATTCAATTTTTCTCCATCTGAAAAAAGCGCCATACGCACGTTATATAAGTCAATATGACGCCACCGCAACTCGCGCAAAAACTGCAGGCTCCCCGTCATGGGTGAAATTGTTTAGCAGCGTGGCCGGCAAGCACGGGCAAGCACCGAACCAGCACTGGACTAACTTGTTCTCACTGAAGATGAATACATATAAGTCGTTATAGTAGCGCGTATCTCTTCCGGTGTCATGGAATCCGCCAAACAGAATCAACAAGCCACGCCAAACAGCCTAAGTCAGGAAACAAGGAAGTGCAACAACACCGACGGCAAATTGGCTAGTCAGGAACGTAGTTCCTCTGGGACCCTGTGCGTCCCCGCAAAACAAGAACGCATCTTCGTAAACGAAGCCTCCTTGAACTGTTTTGGAATGCTGCAATGGCGGGCTTATTTCAAGAAGGGCCCTCGAGCCCAGCTGAGATGCTGGGTAAAACCATGTAAGGCAGACGCATGCAAATATTCACGCAGTCGTCACTCCTCACAGCTTGTGAATTAGAAAGTGATTCCCTTAAGGCTTTAAAGGTACAAATGTAAGGGCAGTGATTTACCATTCGATGTCCGCTTCGGGGCGACGGGACTTGCGCAGGGCACTCGACGAGAATCTTACTCCATAAATTAGACTTCAGATCAAATTTCCAAAAGTCTTTATAGTGATGAAATTGATAATATGTTGAAAATTCGCCTCCAAATACATAAAGCGCATCGCTGCAGAGCACATAATAAACAGCGTAAGCAACTGGACCTGATAGGCATATAATCACCATAGAATCATCTGCAAACAAGGGCCTAGATCTGTCGGTCAAGTAGTGGCCCTCAATCGAAAAGCATTTTCAGGTTAATTGCATATCTTGGAGTCGGTAACACTGCAGGGATGGCTACATTTCCGACGAGTCCGCAATAGTTCCAGGGCTCACTTGTGGTATACGGCTTGGTGAGAGCATCGAGCTTTCGGCATTTCGGGGGCTTCGAGGCGACGCCACTCCGCCTTGTCCATATCCCATTTGAAAAGGTCCCCATACACACGGACTTTCTTGCCGTCATAACTTTCTCCCCCAAAAAGCAAGAAGTCGCCGCTGAACAGCAGAGCACACTTTGGAGTAAACGCGGACATCACTGCTCCGTACGCCTTTGGCATAAGGAATAATGGTGCCGAAAATGCCGAATGTTCTCATACCTCGGTAGCAGGGTCAGGGAAGCATGGGCCCTAGGGGAGGGCTGGTTGCACAGTGTGGCTTGAGTCTTGCTTATCTGCCTTTGCCGGTGTTCCTCCTCTAGCTGCTGCAGTAGTACATCAATTGGAGTCTCATCACACTCCACTTCACCTTTCTTCTGCTTCTTTTTCTGCTCCTTTGCAGCGGCCTTTTTCTGCTGCAGTTCACGTCGGGCAGCTTTCTGTTGAGCCTTCTTCGTGTTGCCCTTCGGAGGAGCCATCCTCAAATCACTAATCTCTCAAAGTCTGCATAGGAGTATGCCCATCAGGATGCGTGTATTGCCACAGGCTATGATTGGCCCTGTCCTAAACACATGCGCTTCGGCCGCCACCGGCGTATTGATTCTGCGCAACGAGAGCGCTGAAACCCCTGTTCAGTGGTGAAGGTGAACTTACTGTATGAGGCCTACTTTTGTCCTGTCCATATTTTGTGTATTTTCTAAAGGTCGAAACCTGGTGAATAGGGGCCCCCATGGAGCATGCACTGGCCCCACAGACCCTGTGGGCCATTCAAGCTCTAGTGCAGTACCGCAGTTTTAGTTTTGGCAGAGAGCATTACTCGAGATTGATTTGGGGCTTTGTGGTTGCTTCCGTGAGAGCCATTATCTACAGCTGCTTGCATCCAAGCAGAAACCGTAGCCGCACGTCATTGGGTCGTGCCTTGCCAGTGACCACTGGTGTCCGCCAGGAACGAGTGCATTCGTACTGCATCCATTTTAGTAATGAAGAATTCATAATAATAATGGTAACGGCACGTGACTGTTGTTTTCTTGACGCTTCAAGAGGAGTGCGTGCATTCTGCCAATTGGATTGCTGCGTGTGCGAGCAGAAAGATTGAAGGCCAGCCCAAAACATTTCCTTGAACAAGTAGCGGAGGGCTGCTGCTTCCATATCTGTATGTGTCCTGAGGTACCGTTTAGTGCAGTGCATGGTTATTTAAGACGTCACCAGTTGCTTTTCCCCGCCTCCGCTAAGCGTGCCTAGGTGCATTCGGCGGGTAGCAGAGCTGACTCACGTATGTCCTTCTACATTCTAGAGCTAGTGCATCGACCGACCTTTTCGTTTTTTAGTACTCCCAATATTTATCAGCTGGGTAGTAAGTATCTTTTGTTGTATGGCCAATCACAATAACTCCTCAGTTTAAGCTGTACGAACTCACCGTCCCAAAGTATACCCCCGCAACACCACGTTTTTCCAAGCCAAATATGCTGTTCATTAATGCGTATGTACACACACTTCTCGTTTCTGGTCCGTGACTTGTGCACTGGGCATGTGGCGGTCTTGGACATGGTGGTATATATAGGATATAGATAGAACTTCTGCCTAAACGTTACCAGCTGCGTAACGATTGTCTGGGGCTCCCTCCACTCCAGCTCTGTGCCCCACAGGACGATAATAGTGCCCCGCCAAGAACTACTGAACCACGAATGGTGTTGGTGAGTGATGAGGAAAAACGCACCCTCCTCCAGTCGATATCCTTGATATTGCGAAGTGCCGTTTCTGCACCCGCGCGCACATCCGTAATGGGACTCTCCAACTGGGCCTTCATGGCAACTATATGTACTTCTCTTTCAATATTTCAAGCTGCTTTCGGAAAAGGCCAGCTAGATAGGAAGATGCACGCTCGGCACATTGGTATTCTCCATAGTACTTCGTGAGTCCGCAAAACAGCTCTTTGGCTGTGTTGGTGAGATCGCCCTAGCCAATACATGGATTGAATCTCCTGAGACTAAGTAGTTAACAGTTGGTTCAGTGATGGCGATATTCTTCTACAGCTCACCATGTAGAGCCATGCTGTCTTTTCCAAAGAGGAGCGACGGTAGTAAGCAATACTTACGAGATCCGGCATTGAGATCACAACAGGGGCTGCAGACCGCCATAAACCATATTTATGCCTTGAACAAAAACAGTCGTGCAACAAACACCACTAGAATTACGGCGCAGCACTGTTCTTGCACTGCTTTTCAAAGAGTGCACTCGTACGGCAGCTCCATACGCGTTTAAGCGAATCTAAGTGATTTACTATACTCTCAAAGACCCACCCACCTACCAATGGACGAAGTTTAGCACATTATTCAATTTTCTAGTGTCGCTTTGAAGCAATGCATACCTAATCGCCTGATAATGTGCAATGCTTTGTTCGGCAAGAAAAAACAGCAGTAAGCTGAAGTAGTTGCAGCAGTTTTCGGCGGACTCTGGCAAAGCGAGCCGACCATCGTGCTTTCCTAGAATAAAACGCACTGTCCACAAGGCGTGTGCCTTGACTGCCTTATCGCCTCGGGATCTATCCAACTTCTCGACAGCAGCGAGCAAACCCGAATCCCCCGTGACGTCGCCGAAGGTGCAAGGCATGATGGCAGTGAACTAGCATACCTAACAGGAGAGATAAGCATCATGCTGCCTAGAGCGAAAATGTGGTGCTTTTAACAGGGTATGGACTTCTCGTGAGTATTGCCTAATCAACGAGCGGGCCCTGAGGTTCGGGTAAGTGCCGTCTGCGTCGTCGGTTTAATGAATTCAAACGGTTGGGCAAGCTGCCAGTTGTATATCTATGTTTTCAAGACCGCGGAAAAAGTGCTTACGGTGTACTGGCACTGCAGTCCTGTCAGTGTGGCAGAACTCTCGTATGGCGATACACAGTTACAGCAAACCAATACATGATGTTTGATTTCGGGTAATTTGCCATGCCATTCAGCTATTTAAGAACCCATGCATATTTGCTCCCCATTTGCGGAGCAGCAAAACGCAGTTCGATAGGGTACATCTGAAACGAAAACACCCGTTCACCGTATCAGCACAAGCGAAAAAGCAACGCCTGGAGGAGAGGCCTGGATTTGGAAGCAGCGTTGGTTTCCAGCTTTGGCCCCGACATTTCAAGCGTCATTTCAACTACGCATGCCATAACGAGGCACTCAGCCCCCAGAGGGGTTTCCCCAACTCTAATCAACACCCACAGAGAGAGTGGGTCTCCAGATTTTGACGCTATTGCTGGCTGGCTTCCTGCGGACTGCTCTTGCGTAAGAAAGAGCAGTCCGTTGGAAGCCCACACAATGTACTACAGCTCCACGCCATTGACAGAGTTGAATTTCGTATAAAAGTCGACTCTTGACTGGCTGTGCCATGACTGGGAGCCGCATTTGCTCCCTTGTAGCTGGCCCTTCCCCATGCGTATGGGACACACTGCCCATGCAAATATCTACATGCTCATCCCCCATCAGCAGTATAACCTGAAAATACGAATTATTGGGACGAATTTGGTAATGATAGTCTTTTTGATTTGTGTGGTGTCCTTGATGTTGCCCTCCGCTCGAGTCCAGCCGCTAAGACGTAGTACCCAACAAACAACAGCACCATTGCACAGAAGTCTATCAGGAAGTGTCGCTTGATTTTCTTGACCATAGGTCCCAAACTGAAGTGTCAAAGATGCACACACAGACACGCACACACACACACGAGATAAGCAAGGGATGATGAGGAAAAGAGGATGGCCACTGATCTTCTAATCGTGCCTAAAAACCGAGACGGGTTAATGGAGCTACGCATCATCAACGTTCGCGTACGTTGAGACAACGCATATTCAAACTGGGCAACTGCGTATACACAAAATATCACAGAGTCGTGGGTTCACCGTACCACGCATCCAACATAAGATACTAATTGTAATTAAGTTGCAAGACCCAGGAATAAACTGTATTCAAGTTGCACATGTGCTATTGCTCCCAAATGCTTACAAATATTGGGTGTCGGACAATTTCTCCGACTCAGTTACATCTGCTTCAACCATTAGGGTGCGAAGCAGTTCCAAATTCTCCTTCTCACGCTCTTCAGCCGAGACGGCACCGCCGCTAGCAGTTGCGGACTGAGACTTAGCCCCCGTCCCGCCAGTCAGAGCAATGCCATCCTGCACAGCCGGTTTATCAGCACGCGCATCTCCGCCCACTGCCGTTACTCCTGGGGAACTCGTGCCTCCTGCTGCAACAATGGTAATTGAAACATCCCCAAGGAAAAGCAGGTGTAGCAGGAGCAAGGCCATCACCACATGTCGGACTACCGGGCCAATGCCAGGCAGTCTCTGAAATCTCCCCATAGCTAAACGGATGGGAAGATAAGTGACTGCGGTCTCATGGCCACTCCTGTTGGCCCTACAGTGTGGGGAAACTGAAGCGCGTGGGGCCATAAGCATGTCGCACACAACCCCGGCTGCCAAAAATGGGGACTACCGCTCTAGCAGCCGTACGGGTTAGAAAAGTGCCCTCTAAATTTTGAAGGGCAAAATCCGACCCATGATTCGTCTGAACGCGTGCTGCTCCAATGATGGGGAGGGCCTCAGGGAAGGAATGATGGGCCACCTCCTCCAAGTCGTGAGAATCCAGGAGGCAGCCAGATGGAAGAAAACCCATGCAAGATGCTGATAACAAAACCTCTAGTGACAGGAAAAAGAAAAGGTTGAATGCGTCCAAGCCCAGAGAGAGCGGGGCGCCACAGTGCTCGAAAAGAGGCAGGCACCAATGCCACGCCTTTGATGGACGTCGCCCCCGAGCTACTGTACTGCCACCCTTATCGTTATTTGCTTTATAAGGAAAATCATCAGGAGAGGAGATCAAAACGCTCGGCAAGCAATACCAAGTAACTTGTCCGCCGGTTGGTCCCCAGCCCCTGTTGCGAGCGAGGGTGGGAGGCTCCAAAGCTCCAAAGCCATGGCTGCTATGGTACTGCCGGGTGCCAAGCTCGTCATAAAACGCTCTATTCAGTTGGTAAAACTTACGTTGCATTCCAGTAAGATGATACTGTTGCTTGCTGTTGGAATCTGGGCCCAATCGGCGTTATGCGGAATTTGCGAACTAACCTAGTATTGCACGGTACTTTGCCCATGCAGGGTGGTACGCCATCAACTTCAGTTAGAGATTCTTAAGTTAAATGCTTTACTTAAGCCTTTCTCGTCTTTTTTCCTCAGCCCATAGATGCATCCTATTTGCATTACGATAGTCCCAGATCAGCCTCCGATCCACACTAAGTGTGGCATTGGACCACGTTAGTGTTCATGTAGGAATTCTGACAAACCATGGGTAACATAGTCTGCCAGAAGTGGTACCCAACATGGTCTCTGAGACCATGCTGAGAGACCATGCTCTGTAACATGCTCTGTGTGTCCGAAGTTGGTACACGAACATTTTCATGGCCACATTAGGCAACCTTCGAAGTACAACCCTTGTTCACATAGTGTAGACGGCGAAGGAGGCTTTTGTTGTGCTGCCTGCGTAGGTGTCTTGCACTATTAGTTGCAGCTAGGTGCGCTGCAACTCATGTCAGGCAGCCTCCTCTCTCCCGCCTTAGGGTTTTGTGCAGCTGCCCGGAAGGCCTAGGAACTCGAGCGGAGATCAGCTGCTTTTTTGGAACGCTTAAATTAATTATTTTGATTCGATTTACTCTCTCGACAGTCCTCGGGTAAGGTCGCTGACTCTCGTTTCACTTGGTAGCATCCCGCATTTCAGCGGGCAAGGAGCGAGCAACGATCCCCACCACCACATCAGGCCGGCCCAGTCCTTGGCATTGACTAGTACAGACGGTACTCCAAAAACACCAAAAACGAAATTCTCACTTGTTGTTAAATCGCAGCCCTTCCTCTTTTCTCACTATGGATATTGCTCAGGCTCTGGACTCCGGTGGGAAGGCTACGAACGTGTGGGCGCCTCGTCGCAAAAACGCTACTGTTTCCCATCTAGCGGAAGATGCCTAAGCAGCAAAAACAATGCATGAGCATTGCCTCCTCCTTTTCCGACCGTCTAGATATGGGGTCCTCGATTTAGGGGCAGTGGAGGCGTTCCTTGTTTTTCTGGAGTTGTATCTGCTGTTCCAAAATGCACCGGAAGAGCCACAGTTGCTAGTGGCATCTTCGTTATTAGAAGGGGCGCCATGGGAATGGCTATTATATCAAAGCAATGGTAGCCCTATTCTGGAGAGCACCCGGGTTATGAAAGTCCTTCAATATGCGCTTCGATGTGGGCTTTTTCTCACCTCCGCAAGGGAACGGTCCCTGGCAGGACTGAGAAACCGAAAACAAAGGAAACCTATCGGCAGAATGCTGCAGCGACAGGTATCACCCCCTTGTGAATGAAATTCCGACGGTAGGCTCGAAATGTCTGTATCAATGGCTCACTGCAAGGCTGTGCCCCCGAGAGAAACAGTCGGAAGCCGGTTGGGGGGCAGGCATGGAACTAGGTGGTGACATTGTTGACCTTGCCGATAGGATGGTACACTTATGCATCAGAAAGAGAAAAACAAGCCTTCTTCCTCCCTAGCAAAAAAGGAGGAAAGTCTGTTTCGAGCTAGATCCGAAATGCAGCCCGTGGATATCATGGCTTATATATACAACGTATATATATATATATATATATATATATAT